ACCGGCTTTGTGAGTAGCCAAAGAAATAATTGTGGTGGATGAATTAGCGAATGAGTAGTCTGATGAGTAGACAGTTGGCGCCGTAGTCTTCTGGTGGAACGCCCCATGTAATCTTCCTCAAAATAGACATTGTACAGTCCGACTTTGCACATTCCAATGCCAACTAACGGCTCAAGAAAAGGTCTCTTCCTGTCGAAAGCCAGCTTGAACCATGTTTCTGCAACGGAGACAACCGCGAACATGTCACAGACCAGATACCATCTCGGTTGTCATGCCCTCTAACTGCCCACGGTCCGCGAGGCATTGACTGTCTTCCACGAGAATAGCATTCTCTACAATAAACCTGTTCGTCACATGTTGGACTCAGAATGGTTGGCGTTGCCAGGTGCACCAGAACAGCTGAGGATGAAATGATAAGCCACGTTTGCACTCGCCTGGACTGGGACACCGGCACCAGACGGAACGCAGCAACCAGACTGCGCTGCAGACGCATCGATCGGGCCTAAGTGTTGCCGAGTGGAGGGGAGACAAAGTGCACAGCCTCGGCTGCTACGTGCCACGTGCCACGTGTTAGGTGTTGTCGCGCCGCCTCTCGACGCCGGGAGACGAGAGACGATTTAGTGCGTTCGGTGGCATCGGAAAACAAGTCTTTTCCCACTCGCTCTTTTGGACCCGCCGCGAAGGCTGGTTCGCGAGACGGCAACGCCTAGAGCTGTACCAACATGAGCCCACTCGTGGAAGTCTCGTCTTCCCGACTCAGACAAGTTACTCGGCTTCTGAGAGTAAATAAGCCGAAAAAGTCTACTGGCACCAGCAGCAGCAGCAACAGCAGCAGCAAAAAGTTGTATTACGTCTCAGCAAATGAGACAATGTTTTAAATTGTGACTAAAAGTGTATATTTTTGGTGATCAGCTCCACCGTGGCAAGCCGGACTGGAGTATGCATTAAAGTGGAGCCACTTTGGGCTCGATATGTGAACATGTGAACCAACCATGTTGAGCAGAAAGTGACCTGTTTGGCGGATTTGGCAGAGAAAATTTGCGTCCTATCACGTGACTCCTCCACGCCGACTTGTTCCACATTGTACATTGTGTCAATGGGATTTGCTGGCGATCTTGAAGGCCTGCGTGTGCAGGAATAACAATTTATGTAGACATTTGCTTGAAATCGACATCCGCCCCGAGACCCAGACGGCCCCGTGGCGCTGAGGCGTAGTGGTGTTGTGGTTCGAGTCCCGCTGGCCGTGTTGACAGGACCGAGGCGATGTGGAGACTGCAGTCCACTTCGGTCGGGATGAGAAGACCGTTTTTAGAAAGCAAGGCTGTGTGAAATTGAACGGAAGCGTCAGCTCTACTCATGGCATTGTGGAAAAATTCTATTATCAGTCGCTTTCTTGTCCTAAACGAAATGCATTAACTACTGATAGTCTCGAAAGTCTACTTATAAACGAAAAATTCGACCGCCTCTTTCATGTTGCGGCTCGTTTGCAGCAGGTCTCTTAGCATTCCAGACTCTGGTGCAATTGAGTGGATGTGGGCACATTCTGTTTACGACCTTCCAACAACCTACAAGTATGGAATTCCTTTAAGACTGGTAGTTAATAATGAGGGAAATGTGATGCACACGATTTCACGATTTTTGTTCGGGCACTTAAAGAAAGTGGCTGAGTATTGGCGATGTTGTGGGATTATTTATTTGTATCTGTTGGGTTGACAGATCAACAGACCTTCTGATGAATTTGGATGTGGTGTTAATGTATACTAACATCCCAGTTGAGAAGGTTATTGAAGCACTAACATTCAGTCCGGATAAACTCCCATATTAGGAGGGTTCAGATTTGAGACTACTTAATATATTCATGAGTAGCATATATTGCACCTTTAACAACAAGTCTTGTGAAAAGGTGCAAGGCCTGGAAATGGGACCTCGTTTGGCTCCTATTTGAGTGAATAGCTCCACGTCAAAAATAGAGGAACGTTTCATGAAAGGTCCAAGACCGAAACCAGAACCCTTAGATGATATAGATGACTATTTAGACGTACGGCAGCAAGACAAAAATAAAAGTGTTGGGTGAAGAGATTCGAGTGTCGGTTCCACCAGAAGACGACGGCTGATTCCTCTTGACCAGTTGTCGATTGGCTTTTCTGAAACATTCATGCTGACGCTGTTTCCGAGGCAATCTCCTTCGATTCCGGTGAAATGGTGCTAAGCTTTCGTTCGTCATGTGACGAACATCATCAGAGCAAGGTATCTTCGTCACCATAAAATTCAAGCTAACGAGTGAAGAAAACTCACCGGCGAATCCCTAAACGTGGTATATATACTCTTGACTCATTAGCTTA